AAAAAAAAAAAAAAAAATGAATCCCAGCGGAGTCCTGTGAGGGAGGGCGCTGCCTCTACAGCGACTAAGGGCTATTGATCTGCCTCCATCCCCTGCAGACCGGAGGCTGGGTCAGGTGAGCCACTGGCTGGCTGACGGACTCTAAGATAGAATTTGTCTGTAGTTTAAAGCAAAGTAACCAGAGGTGTGGGCATGTTTGTCTGTAACAGACAGGACCCTGCTGAGGAGCAGAAATGTGGCGACCACCTGGGGGTGATGGTGACCAAGGGGACAGAAGTCTGGATTCTGCTCTCATTTGAACGTCCATGGGACAGGCTGGTATTTGGAGGCATTGTGTGCCTGCGTGCCTGGCACCGTGTTCAGGGGAGAATACCAAAAAAGTATGCAGGGACATTTGTGGGTGTCTCTCCCACATCCGTTCCCCTCTTCCAACACTCCCTGTTTCCGTTGGCAGGTGCACGTGGTTAAAGAGGCTGACTGTACCTCCAGCTCCACAGGTAGAGCGTGTGTCCGTCAGCACACTCCACCCCACGGCTCCGCTCTGGGGATTGGTTAGGCATGGGCATGTTCCCCAGGCTCTCCGGTCAGACTAAATCTCAGGACTTGTGTTGAGAATCCTGGGTTATAGACTCTCTCTTTCCTCCTCTAACCTAAATAAGAAAGTACACGATTCTAGGAGCCTCTGACTGCCTTTTGGGGACACTGAAGCTATTCCCAGAGAAAAGGATGATAGACCGAAACAAAACAGGTTCTCGGCGACGTTGCTGAGCCCTTCCTGAAGGCAGGCCTAGAGCTAGATGCTTCAGTTATGTGAACCTTTACTGATTATACAAATTTGGATTGGATTTTTCTCTTACTTGGAACCAAAAGAATCTTAAGTGATGACTGCCCTCCCAGAGCATAACTTTGTAGTTATGTCAGGAGAATGTTGCTAAGGATCACACATGAAAAGGCTGAGTTATTTGGTGCAGAAAGTTAGAGCCCAAGAAAGACCAGTGGAGTCTCTGGCAGCGGGAGGAGGATTTCTGAATAAGACAGTGGGATTTCGGGGCGCCTGGGTGGCTCAGTCATTAAGCGTCTGCCTTCGGCCAGGGTCCTGGGATGGAGCCCCACATCGGGCTCTCTGCTTGGCAGGAAGCCTGCTTTTCCCTCTCCCACTCCCCCTGCTTGTGTTCCCTCTCTTGCTGTGTCTCTCTCTGATAAAAAAAAAAAAAAAAAGACAGGTGGGATTTCAGTGATGGAGGGAAAAAGGAGAACATTCCAGTTTAGAAGGTAAATGCTAAGAGAGAAGGATGCAATTGCAAGATTGCTTTTCTCTTTTGGAGGAAATGGGGTGTCATGAGAAAATCAAGGTGTGACTATTTGGAAAGGGGCCAGATCGATGGGAGCTTTGAAAACTAAGCAGATAAATGTAAACAACATGGTAGTCAAAAGGAAGACATCATGGGCTTTGAGTAATGAAATGCTCATGAAATGCTTGAAGAAAAAACATCAGAATGAGAATGTAGCCAGTTAAGACTAGAGCCCAGGAGGCCAGGAGGAGACTCTTAACAGTGACCCAGATAAAACGGGACAGGATTGGAATAGGAAAATAGTAACACCAAATATTTACCCACAACATCTGCCTGATTTGAAGCTCTCTGCTGGGTGCAAGGAATATAGGAGGAATAAGATTGGTCCCTATCTACTGAAGAGATAAGTGGGTGATACAGTATGTAGAGATAGTAGGGTAGGATCTGTGAGGAAATATGTGTACAAAATAAAGGAACAAGTAATGGCGGGAATGGGAAGACTTCACAGAGATGACGGTGGAGATGAATGTGCCAGTGTATGGCACGTCCTTACTGGGCTTGGTGACAGATGGGACCTGGGAGTTAAGGGAGAAGGAAGAGCTGAAACTAGTCATGGGAATGGAAATAGGGACATTTTGAAGGCAGACTCCAAGATATGGGGCAGTGATTGTCTTTGCCGGTGGGGAAGGACAGGTGTGGCCCCTGTCCATTTTCTGGCCAGGAGAACCTGTAGAATGGTGATGCTATGGACGATACAATAATAATAATAATAATAATAATAATAGTTAGGAATACTTATGTGTCAGGCATTGTTAATTCTCCTAATAAACATATGGGGGAATAGTTGCTGTTGGTATTATTCTCATTCTGTGGATGACGAACTTAGACACGAAGAGGAGGGAGCCGAGTCATAGTTTAAACTGAGGCAGTTGGATTCCAGAGACTGCACAGCCTTCTTTTTTTTTTTAAAGATTTTATTTATTTATTTGACAGAGAGAGACACAGCGAGAGAGGGAACACAAGCAGGGGGAGTGGGAGAGGGAGAAGCAGGCCTCCTGCAGAGCAGGGAGCCCGATGTGGGGCTTGATCCCAGGACCCTGAGATCATGACCTGAGCTGAAGGCAGACGCTTAACGACTGAGCCACCCAGGCGCCCCAACTGCACAGCCTTCTTAACCCCTAGACTAAGCTGCCTGAGGAAGTCTTCTGCATGCAGGAAGAAGATGACTCCAAAATAATTTCAGATGACAACAAGATTTTGTTAGCTACCTTTGCTTCAACCCTGGGACACTTTCCCATCATGACGTGGGTAAGGTATAGATGTAGAGATTTCCTGTCAACATCAAATTATAATAATAACAACTACCAGACTTTAACAAACAAGGGAGTTTCATTGTGATCGCTTAGCATTGAAGGGCTTGCAAAGAGCTTAACAAGCATTGATTACTCATTGGTCAGACTTTACAATACTTTCGGAGGAGTGTTTCTCACAGCTGAGACTCTGGCCAAGTGTGGGAGAAGGGCAAGGTGAGGGGTATAGAGAATCCTGGGGATGCCTGCTCCTCTAAAGTTCTTGAAAGAAATTACCAAAGCTTAAGATGCATCTTCTCAGTCCCCGCAGGATCATGTTTAGTACATCTGAAACCCTGGCAGGAAATAGCCAGCACAGGTGGACATTTGAGCTGTTATCACCCAATGCAGAAATTACGTTTAGGGAAAACTATTGAATGCTGCTGTAAGAGGCTCCGTTTTGTGAAATTGTTTGTTTCTATTCAGAAACACTGACTCAAATGATTCTAAAAATGGGGTCAGTGTGGTGGCTGGTGGCTGCCATTATGGAGGAAACTTTCCCAGGGTTATTCTTGGCCTCCGCCTTATCAGGGTACAGAAGAGACTGCAGATAATTAATATACTTGATGGCAGCTCTGAGGGTTTCCACTTTGCTGAGTCGTTTCTCCAAGTACTCCTCTGGCAGATGATGTCGGAGCTGGGCGTAGCCTTCATTGACACACTTCACCCGCTGCCTTTCCCGCTCATTCCTTTTGCGGATAAAGGCTGGCCCATAGGAGTATTCACACCTTCTGTAATTTGGATAAGGCATTGGGAAGGAGAAGGGGCAGGGTTCACCATAATTTTCCATGATCAGGGAATCGCTGGGAAAGGGCAGCAATGGCAGGTCTTCAGAGTAAGGGGATGACACCGGGGCATCAGGGTACAGGTGGAAAGTGACCATGGGGTCCAGATAGAAGGACCTGGTCAGTGGCAAGTGGGCAGAATCAGAGAAGGCAGGCAGCTTTTCTGGCAGATTAGAGTAGCTTCGATTATCCATCATTTCCTCTTTAGCCTGGAAACATAACCAAGTTTATCAATTTAGCCTGATCAAAAGAGAGCAGATACCATTCACTTTCTCAGAGATCAATGTTTTAAAGCTTTCTCTGCTTTGATGGATAGTTTCTGAGCTCATTCTGAAAATGATATGGGGTTACAATACTCTGTGGGGAGTAAGAGAGAGGATCTTTTTGGTGGTACAGAGGAAGAGCATTAAATAACATTAACTCACTTTGTGAGAGAGTTATGCCCTTTCAACACTTTGAATCCTGGTGATTACAGAGATACAGCTTTAGTCGTGGAAGAATGTGTCTTCCACACTCCCAGAATGCTTTCTGATCCTCCTCAGATGGAAGTCTCCAACAAACGATACTATCTAGCTAGAATTTAATAATGGTTTACTGTTGATTTCTATTAATTGTGAATTATACTGATTTCACACTTAGGGCAGTGGTACAAAATTTCTTTTAAAAATACATCTACTTGAGGGGCGCCTGGGTGGCTCAGTCGTTAAGCGTCTGCCTTCAGCTCAGGTCATGATCCCCGGATCCTGGGATCGAGCCCCGCATCAGGCTCCCTGCTCAGCTGGAAGCCTGCTTCTCCCTCTCCCACTCCCCCTGCTTGCGTTCCCTCTCTCACTATCTCTCTCTGTCAAATAAATAAATAAAATCTAAAAATAAAAATAAAAATACATCTACTTGAGTAAAACATGTCCCTTAAAGAAAAATAGTAAGTGAATAACAGTACAAGTGGAACACAGATAATGAAGACCATGAAGGTACATGCAAATAATTAAAGTCTGGGAAACACTGAAATACCACAATATTCAAATACATGTTGGAGACCTTATAAAGGAGTTAATGATCATGCAACCTCACAGGCATAGCCTTCTTAAATAATACCTGATATGCCAGGGGCAAAACCAAAAATAAAAGTAAGAAAGGAATCTTTTGCTCTT